TAGGGTTTAGGATTTAGCCCTAAATCCTAAACCCTAAACCCTAAGCCCTAAACCCTAAACCCAAAGCCCTAAATCCTAAACCCTAAACCCTAAACCCTAAGCCCTAAACCCTAAGCCCTAAACCCTAAGCCCGACAACAGCCCCGTGCCGCTCGAGCGCAAGTTCCGAGCGAAGGATCTTCATCATCTGTCGGCTGCAGCCTTGAACCCCTACACTAACTACTCTAAGTCCACTAAATCCTAAACCCTAAACCCAAGTCCCCTGACAACTAGTTACTATGTCCCTCGAGCCTGCAAGAAGATGTCGTAATGTTCCTGAAGGATGTAAGCGCCCTTCAAGAGAACAAGTTTTCATGCAGCCCGTAAGCTAAACCCCAAACCCTAAACCCGAACTTATCGCCCATCCTCTTTGGAGAAGCGGTATGTTCAACACCACTGAACAGGAGAAGCAGAGCCCGGGAAACCTAGTATAGAAGCCTCAACAATTAACAATATAGGATTTAGGGTTTAGAGTTTAGGGTTTAGGGTTGTGAGCAATATTATTCTTAGGGTTCCTTATTAACAATATATTGTTAAAGAAGCCCAAAACCCTATTCTAATTATTGAGGTCCCTACATTAAACCCTAAATGCAACAAAAACACGTAAACACCGGGGCCCAGAAAAGCTCCATCAACACGCTTATTTGCGAGTTTCCAAAAACTGGGGGTACCTTATTTTGGGGTCCTTGTAACTACTTAGGGTAGTACATCAGGGTCCCCTATTTTCGGAAACTCCCATTTGAGTTTAGGGTTTAGGGTGCAGAACAGGCCTAAGAGAACTTTTGGCGCAGGTTCCAGGCCCCCGCCGAAGCAAAGCAGAGACTTCCCAATTTCTGGGGTTTAGGGTTTAGGGAGACTCCCCAAAATCTGATTCTAGACGGGTTCTGAATACGATGGAAACCCTCCAAAATCTAACCATGCGAAGCCTTCATAAAGCCCTGTACACTATCGTTATAGTGTAGTATACCCCGAAGAGTTGAGTTTCTGCGAAACAGGCGGCTGACATGGTCTTAGTGAAGAGCCGCCTCTCTGACGCTCTCTCGCGCACTTCAAGGGCTTGATGGGCTTTGCATAGATGCTTTGATAGCTTCTACGAGGTTTTGCAGGATGTTGTAGATGCTTGTTAGCGGCTTGTGGCTGGATTTGTTTAGGGTTCTCAACGGTGGCTTTTCATAGGATCGTATAAGTCTTATGGCGGAGTGCCTTGTAAGGGCATTTCAAGGTTTGGTGCGGCCTTGGGGTTTTTGATGGGGTTCCAGGGTAGCAGATTCTTGTGGTATTTTAATGGGTTCTTTTTTGTGTATGTGAGTGGTATGGTGTAGGTGGTGTGGTGTATGTGATGCGGCGTTCTTTATTCAGGACCCTTCGCTGAAGCTTTCGGAAGCAAAGCACTCCTCCCGTACCCCTCCCCTGGCTTCTGATGCTCCCTTGTGGATGGAGTGTTTGACCGGCACGATTTCACACTGCAGAACATCTCTATATGCCATCTCTCTGCTTCAAGCTGGCTGAAGTTCAGGATCTCAGTCCCAATGAAAGACTGAGCGGCAGAGTAGTACGAGTCGATGTTCTCAACCGGTTGGTTCATCTGGAACTCAACCTTGGTGGCCCGACACTACTGATCTTGAAACGAAGCTTCCGGCCCTGGTCCTGCAGAAGGTTTTGCCGTCTTCTGTGAAGTCGGTTGAAGTTCATCCAGTTGGATCTACCCGGCATTTTTCCGTGGGCTGGCGTTGGGATTACAGCGCAAGATGCTAGAGCTCGACCGCCAAATACCTCAGCGAAGGTTAAGGTGCTTGCGCTTGTAGAGCTCCGAGGCCGACTTTCGAGTTGAAGATATTTTCCTGTGATGGTTGAAAACAACGACGGCCGTCATTCAAACAAGATCAGCTCCTTGATTACATCTAGTAGCTTCTTACGCTTTGTTCTCCAATACCCAACCTTTAAACTTTTTGAGCTGCTAGAGTTTAATTAGTAGTAAGCTGAAAGTTTAACTTTTTAGTTTCCTGGCTTGTGTGGGAAGTAAGTACAGCAACACAGGGTTGGTGTTTCCACGCACCCGAATCCCTAAACCATAGTTCAACCCTAAACCCAACGTAAAACCCTAAACCCACGGTAGACCCTGGAGCCTTCTTTGTCAGTGGGACGAAGAAGGCCGAAGGCCCTTAGTGGCCTTTTAGGAACCCGGCCCGTGGGAGCATTTAGCAAGTGGGCACCTGGAGTTTGTAGCCTTTAGGGTTTAGGGTTTAAGGTTTAGGTTTAGGGTTTAGCAAGTAGGACCCCCGGAAATTGGTACAACTACATGTCTTTACAAGCCGTCCCAGGCATCCTAAACCCTTAGCGGCTAAAAACCCTTCAGCCCCAAAACCGTAACACCCTACAACCCTAAGCCCTAACTCGCAATCTACTTTCCAAATCCTCCCGAGGGTCTGGCATCTGACGTACGGCTTAAGGGCATGGGGGCATTCTGGGCAAAGAGCATCAAGGGGTTTTGGGCAAGGGAGCCAGAAGGATGTTGTTGGCTTGGGAGCTTCTAAGGGCGAAGGCAGAAGGGTCTAGGATGCCCATGTTTGATACAACGTTACCTCTACTCCTCCAATACCTAACCTTTAAACTTTTTCGGGCTCTTATATTTTAGTAGTAATCTGAGAGTCTAACCAATACCCAGCCTTTAAACTTTTCGGGCTCTTATAAGTTAGTAGTATTCAGTAATCTGAAAGTCTAACCTTTTAATTTCCCGGCTTATTGGGGAAGTCAGACTCTACCAAGCTGGGAATTCCGCTGGATGCAACAACCTGTCCGCAATCCCTCGCCAATCCTATAATCCTGCAATACCCCAACAGACCTGCTTCCCCTGAAGGCCAGGGGCGCAACCCTAAACGCCCTGAACCCTAGAGTCTAGATCCAACGTTGAAACAATGGGCCCTTAGTTTGGGCCCTTGACCCTGCGATCCCTATACACCTACTATATACCCTATATGTACCCGTAAGGGTCCCTAGAAAGGCCTGAGGGCCCATATTCGGGGCCCATACTTCTAACCTTAGACTAGAGCCTTCAACCCTAAGCCCCAAATTTCTCAAGACCCCCAAACCAAGACTATGTGGGCCTTAATAACTAATTACCTATACTATTTTGGGAGGTTCCCTATCATGATTAGAGTATAATATACCCACGACCCGGTTCTAATTATTCAGGCCCCTACAGCAACAAATCAGTATGAACCTTTCTATATCTCATACTAAGTTTATGATGCATTAGAGAGAAACCCTAGACTCTAACCACGCACATGCGGAAGACCCACAACACCATACAGAACCCTGCAGAACTCATCAGGCTGACACATAGGGGGTATTGCATAGCATACGGTGCGTAAAACATAATATACGCCAATGTAAGATAACATAATTAGCCAAAACTACGAATGCTATATCAAAATGTACTATGCTACAATATAACAGAGTACAATCTGAGCCCAAATCTCTAACCCTCAAGCTCCCAAGGACGTCGTCACGGCCTTGCACCTCTCAAGCGCCATCTTCCGCCGCATTCAGCTCAACTTCCTTTTCTCCTTAGGCGCCGGCGGCTTCAGCGTTACCTGCGCTTAACATCAATTCCGTAATAATTGGAGTAGGGTTTCGGGGGTACCTTGCATAGTCTAGCTATATAAGGAGATTTAAGGCATAGTATTGGTAAGTGTTCCGGCCCCTATCTTTGGGTGTAGAGTTTTGTCTTTAGGAAATTTTGACAGTCGAAGCTTAGAGATCGGAAAGGTCAGTGTCATTTCGGGTTCTCAAATGTACAGGTCGAACCTTGCCATTTCGAACCTTGCGATTTGGACCCTAAACCCTAAACCCTCAACCGTTTTGAATCGTGGATTTCGGAGCTAGTCTATAGGAGGTCGAGGGTTCAGCATTCGGGCTTACGGCTTCGAAACGAACGGTTTAGGGTTTAGGTTTTAGGAAGAACGAAATGGTACGTGTTCCCCGGTCCGGTGTAGGAAAAGGTTTTTGAACGCGAATACGGACGAACTCACATAGCGCAGATCAGATTACGGACAACTCTAAACCCAACCCTAAAGCCCTAACCTCAAACCGTAAAGCCTCAGTGAATCCTATCAGGATGATCCTGCACTATCTCTTCGAGTTTCCTGAAGGACCAGTAGGTACGTAGATACCTTAGATAGCCAATGGGAGAACTTTAAACTGTTTGGCCTAATATTATTATGTCTAAGGTCTGTCTTCAAAAGATTGATTTTTGGGGGCCTGGTTGTTGAAGAATAGCTTAGAAGCTGAGTGAGTACACTTTACACTTTTTGGGATAATATGATCCCTTATAGAACTGAAAGCGTACACTTTTTGGGGCAGCAACTCAGATAGAGATACAAGATGAAGCCGAAGCCTGTGCAGGCTACAACTGCCTCGGCATCCCTCTGGCGGCGGGCCTCTTCTTTGCCACTCGCCTCTGAACGCAGACTTACAGAAATACTATAAAAGCCCGAGTGTGAATGATAAATAATGCTATTCCTTAGGGTTCACTAGCATCATTCTAGTAGTGTTATCAGTTATATGTCCCCAAATCCATCATCGGATTATGAAAGAAGGCGTCGGAATAACAAGCCTTATGGGTTTAGGGTTTAGGGTGTTGGTTCAGGGTTTAGGGTTTGTGGCCCAAATATCAGTAGTAGAATATACTCAAAAACCCGATCCAATCATTAAGGCTTGTCTGCTGACCGGCCTAGGGTTCAGGCCAGGATAAGCTAGAAGCTGAAACTGACCATCTCACTCTTGACTTGAGGAACATGGTTCTTGCATTTTCGGATGGGGCTACTAGACTCCTAAAACAAAGAATATTCGAACAACCATACCCAGAGTCGGCAAAAAGGCAGTTGTCTATGTTGCTGGTCCCGTTTATAAGCGTGCCGTACTATTTTGGGGATGAAAAGGGACCCTAATTTGGAGAACTGCCCATAGATATGTCCAGGATTAGGTTTGCATCGGTTGATAAGTTGATGGGAAATGAGATTTGCGGGAATGATAAACCCCATAAAGCCCTTGTGAGTTCTCTGGGAAGCGGAGCATGAGCCTTAGGTTTTTGCACCCGCCCGGACCCAGCGAAGGTTGTTGATACCAACCCGCATTGCAGGAATCTTACGTTCAAACCTGCATGAGGCTAGGTAATTCTTTGGCTGAAACCCAGATCCCAATCGGAAACGCTGCCCAACCGGGCTGGAGGAAGCTCGATCCGTGCAGATACCAGAGCCAGCCCTCAAAAAGTCCCGAACCCAAAGTTTGAGGCCTGCCAGCGCTCAAACACTTGAGGGTCGCACTACAGTCACTAAAGCTCCTTCTAGAGGAAGGACGATGTGGAATGCACATCCGAATTGAGAGGCTATTGCTATTCCTGGGGGCTTGTCATAAATGTTACTGGGTTGAAAATAGACTCAGCACGGCACCCGCTTTTGCTTGAGAGCATCAGACGCAGATAGGTCTGGACACGATAGCGTTGACTAGCAAGACGTGGGTCATCGCCCCTTTCCACTGGGTATAGCCTCTTCGGAATCGGGCCATTGTGGCATCCTGCCCACCTGGCATGAACGATGATGTTTCGCGCCCAAAGTCTTAGCAAACGGTGGTTTGGCGGCGCAGGATTTGCGAGCTGAAGTTGTGCAATTGTTCACACTGCTTCTCGTGCATGACCTGACGTACGGAGAGTAAAATAATACCAACATAACCCCAGGTTGGCCATAGCTTTAGCCTACAATGGCCCATGCACCATCTCTTGGAGACCTAACTTGGCTTGATTTGCAAAGCTTCCCTCTAAATAAGAACTTGAAACTCCTAAGCTCCAAAGCCCTAAACCCTATAATTCCTAAAGTGGAGCCTCTTTCCTATACAAAGCCCGTGTCCGCAGTCCGCGAGTCCCTGGTCTCTAAACCCTCAAGCCCTAGAACCCTCGGACCCCAAACCTTTGAACCGAAACCCCAAAAACCCGAAACCTTGAAGTGCCCCTGAAGTACCCTTAGGGTTTAGGGTTTTAGGGTTTAAGGTTTGGGGTTTAGGGGTTTAGGGGTTTAGGGTTTAGCCTATATACTACCCTTGTAGGAACCGGAAAAGGAACCATTTAAAAGATGAGGCCATCACCGGCAGACCATTGGCTCCCTTCGTGCGCGGGCTCCTGGAGTCATCGCGCAGAGAAACTGAGGGTTGGGGGTTTCCGGCTCCGGGGGTTTAGGGGCCTTTAGGGCCCAGGGACGAGATTTTAAATCGGGGTTTAGGGGGTTTTAAGGCCCAGGGACAAGATTTTAGATCGGGGTTTAGGGGCTGTAAGGCTCAGGGACAAGATTTTATTTGGGGTGTGAGAGGAGGTTTTAAGGCTCAGGGACAAGATTTTTATTTGGTGTGTGAGAGGACATCCCGGTTGAAGTACTTTTGTAACTCTACCTACTACCTAGTTACTAAGCCCCCCGACCATCCAAACAAGGCTTCATGTTTCAGGCTTTTAGCAGGTGTGGAGTTTTAGATAGGGTTTTGGAAGATGATTGACCGACACATGTCGATCACCACCTAAATTCAGTTGATGTAGGGGCCTTAACAATTACCAATACTATGTTGAGGGTTCCTTATTATAATTATATATACCCCAAACCCCATTCTAATTATTAAGGCCACTATATTAAGTACTTGCACAGCCCCTGATCCCTTAAGCAAGGTTTAGGGTCCATCGCCCTCGTTT